ATATATATATATATATATATATATATATATATATATATATATAATTCAGCGACGACCTCTCTCTTCTCCCAGGATTGGGTCTAACAAACATTATCAAATTGATATACGGATACATAGGATCAAGAACCCCAATCCATTGCTCGTGGAGTACCATCATTCTTTTTACTAGTAGAACCAAGTATATCTATCAATCGATTACTTAATTTTTTTAAATCTAAAAATTTAAGTTGTTTAACAAATAATCTAACAATTCAAATCATTTCTTTATAGATAATTCAATATCAATGGAAGAACGACTTGAAATATACCAAAAAGCTACTCTTTAAAGTCCAAAAAAGATATATGCCACTTTTATTTTCTAATTTAGATTATGTTTGCTAAAATTATACTAAAATTATATTTATTTTTAATTTAAAAACCCTAATCTATTTTTTTCATTTTTGAAAAAATTTTGGAGGTATTTTCGACCATTTTTTCATATTGTTAATACACCCACCGTACCGACACATGTTACGTTGGTACAAAGCAACATGTACTATACCACCGATCAATCGGTACACCGATTCAGATCGGTAAGGTGAACCTTCATCGAATCTTCTTAGCAATGCTACTCAACAATAAAGAATTCTTGTTCGCCTAAGTCTCAAATCTAATACAAGTGAGGAAATTGCTCTAAAAATAAATGTAAAACAAAAACATATAAGCAATCATGTTGAGAAGGAACCTTCAAAAAATCATAAAAATAATATTCAATACTAATGTAATATTTTCAATCATTATATAATAATACTTTTATATAAAATTAAAGTAAATCAATTCTTTAGCAAACTAACAAATAAGAAATTATGAATTATTATAAGCAACAATAATTCTTATATATTAAACAAAATCTCAATTATATACACAATTATTGAATAATCATCACATACAACATAGGTGTACATCAGACATCCAATAATGCACACTCCCAACAACAAATAAAGAGACATCCTCCACATAAGATGGATTCTATATTCTTCTTATAATGAATGGAGAGAACTTATATTGCACTCCCAACAGGAGATGAAATAAAATCCTTCATCTATCAATATGAGAACACTTTTCTCCTAAAAATGGATTAAAAAACCATCTAGCTGTCAGGTCTAATGGTCTGCTAAACTTCAAAGGAAATTATCGTACCACTATTGGCTTGCCTGCCCTCAAAAGTAAAAGAAAGTGAAATTTAATCCTCATAATCTTATATCATAATTATTCATTTTCATTATTGTCATTTGTTCATGCATGCATCGAGGGAGACCACATAAGAAAAATATCATGATAGATCATGCTTGTATATGGCATGAAAGATTCAACCTACTAGTGGCTCTACACATGGACTCGTAGCTCCTTTCACAAGGGTCATAGGGGGCACTTCTACAATGGATATTTTACCATAACAACATATATCTCATGGTAATGATCATATTAATATCATCAACTTCAACTTCAATGTCAAACTTTATTTAAACTTAAAAACTAGTAATTATTCTCAAATTTCATAACATCACTTCAAACAAGGCTTTTTAATTTGTTAAATCATAAAATCAGGAGGTGTCAATCCCACTGCAACCCTTAACTGATCTAAACACTAGCTAATTTGATCCAATTAACAAAATTAAAATTTGCAAATAAACAAAATTAAAATCCTTAATTTTTAATTGACATGAATCCTTAATTTTTATCCCAATCAATTGTAAAAAATAAAACAAATTTAAAATCCGCTACTTGAAAAAAGTTACCTTCCTTTTGGATGTTGATCCCTCTTCTTCCTATAATCTCTCGTTATCAGACTCCTTTTGACCCAAGTGTTGAACAGAAGAGGGGTCTTACCAGCATTATATAGGAGATGAGAAAGGCTTCCTTAAGGAAAGAGAAGAAAATTGATTTTTTGGATTAATTAATTAACCATATTCCTAACTTATTGCACCATTGAAGGAATATATTTTAATTATTTCCTTATTTTAGATTATAGTTAAGGAAACATATTAAGTCTAATAAGGTAAAAACCTAATTAGATCTTCTTAATCTCTTGCCTAATTAGATCTTCTTAATCTCTTGCCTAATTACATTTGCACAAGAACGGAAGCAAATTCAGATGTTTCCTAAATTTGAATTATGCGCAAGGAAACATATCATATCAAATATGACATAACCTACTTAAGGCAGTTTCTAATTGTTGGAAAAAGGAGAAAATATCAAGTGATTAAAGTTCACATGTACAGAAGAAAAGAGAAATTTTAAAGGACAATTTAACAGAAAAAGTTTCACTATTGGTTTTTTTACCAGATGACGTCCTTCATAATCGTTTTTACATGAGGGTACCCTTAGTTTCCAATTTGGATGAAAATGCTCTCATTCTTTAGGTTAAATAATTTCTGAACCAATGCAGAATTCATGGTAAACCACTCTAATCTAGTTCTTTTCTGTTGAACCAATCTGGTAGAGATGTGCTTTCCAAATTACCGCTCCTCAGCTGCTGCCGCATTCACTTCCTCTCACTCCTCCTTTTCGATCGCCTCTTCCTCCCCCTCATCCTCCTCACTCTCATCACTCTTCTCCTTCTGCCCCTCCTCCTCCTCCTTCTCCCCCTTCTACACCCTCCGCCTCCACCAAAAATACTTCTAAAATTCAAATTATAATTCTTCTAAAATCCTCAAAAAATAAAAAAATTATATGAATGAGTATCACAATCATAAGCACAGATTTATAAGTTTAAAATGTTTTAGACAAAAAATTGGCCAAAAAACACTCGATTTTAAACTGAAAGACACTCGCCTATAGAATTCTAAATTGGATAGGTTCTATAAACGAGTGTATTTTAGTTTATTTCCAAGTATAATAGGTTAACTTTAAGAAAACCAGTTCAGACTCTCACCAATCTACGAGGTAATCATTCTAACAACATTAGTACCACATTTTTTATTTTTATAAGATTTTATGATAATTAAATATCGAAATTTGGATTTTTATGGATAGGTTTTGTGAATGATTGTATTTTAATTATGTTTTGCTACAACAGGGTCAACTTCAACCAAACCACCACAAACTTTCACCACTCTATTAGAACATCATTCTATTAGAATTAGTAATCTTTTTTTATATTTTAAAAAAAATTATGATAATTAATTATCAAATTTTGAATTTTTTTTTCGATAGGTTCTATCAACGAGTGTCTTTTAGTTCATGTTAATTGTAACAAAGTCAACTTCAACCAAATCATCTCAAACTTTCACCAATTTCCTAGAATATCATTCTAACAAGTAACATCATTGATAATTCTTTTTATTTTTAATGGATTTAAAGATTATTAATATTAAAATTTAAATATTTTAGATAGGTTCTATAAACGAGTGTATCTTAATTCATTTTCAAGTGTCATTGGGCAAACTTCAATCAAACTATCTTAAACTTTCACCAATCTACTATAATAGCATTTTAACATCATGAGTAACACATATTTTATTCTTGTAGGATTTTAGAATAATTGATTATTAAAATTTAAAAAAAATTTAAATAGGAACTATGGGCAAGTGTATTTTAGTTTATTCTTGTAGGATTTTAGAATAATTTCAAATTCCATCAAACCATCTTAAATTTTCACTAATCTAATAGGTCATTTTTCTAAAGTCATTAGTAACATGTTTTATATTTTTATAAAATTTTAGGATAATTAATTATTAAAATTTAAATATTTATAGATAATTGTCATGAACGGGTGTATCCTAGTTCATTTTCAGGTGTAAAGAATCAACTTCAACCAAACTATGTCAAACTTTCACCATTGTACTAGTACATGATTTTAACATCATTAGTATCTTCCGCATTTACATTACGGACCAACACTCTTCTATCATAGCTTTTCTAGCTCAGGTAGGCAT